TTCCCTCTGGTTTCAGAGAGTAAATAATTTGTCTAGAGTCCGTTCATAGAAGTACTAGTGAAAGATGTGCCTAGTGATTTCTGACGGACCCCAGCCAAACATATATTTTCTGAAATCGAAGGACGAGACGGTTCTAACGGTAGCCATCTCAGCGTACAAGATGTTCGTCTACAAAAGTTATGAATTTTTTATGTCAAAAACTCGAAAATCTCCAGAAATTATTACCCACACCTTTCACCAAGCACTTTTCAACAGGGTCAATGCAAAATATATATTCTCTGAAAGCGGAGGACAAGATGGTTTTGAAAACATTTCCTTGTTCACCCACAGAAGTTTTTTCTTTTAGAAAATTCGCAAATGCTCAAAAATTGTCTAACTCTTTCCGAAACAAATGTTCTCGCATGCACATCCTCTATGGTGATTGCAAAAACAGGCAGGGTGATGTAAAAAAGAGGGAAGAGGAAAAATTTAGAAGAAATACAAGGTGCTGGTCAGAAACATGACTGTGTGCTAATCCAGCAGCACATCGGTTCACATTTCAGAAAAAAGACGACCAGGATGGCAAGGAATTGAAAATTACAAACTTTGACTAGGAAATGCTGTAATTCTTGCCCTCATACACTGTAAAAATGATGAGAGAACTACGTGAAACACCCTTCACCCGGAGGTGCTGCGCCCGCTGTGACCCTTTCAGTGAAATATGCCATCTGAAAATTTTTTTCAAAAATCTGAAAAATCATGTACTGGGATTTTCGCGCAAGCTGATTCTACTACACATTTTCTTAAAAGTGTTTCCAGCTTTTTCGGCGGTGTAATCACATTTCTGACAAATGCTGGGAATTTACTTATTATGGTTCACCTGGGATAACTTTGGAAAGAAGCATCACAGTAAAGTGGAAACTTCATATTCGAAATCAGCGTTTTCCATAACCATAGTATAAAAGTTTTTAAGTTGTTTCGTTTTGTTCCGAGGCAAAATATGGCCTCCAATAGCCTAAAATCTTTGTCGAAGTTCCTGCCGTAATCCTACAGTAACGAAGAGCGATCAGTGATTCGCTCCATGCTGTGTATCGAAGTTGAACCTCGCTCTCCAGAATGGCATCTGAAGCTCAAAGACGTGGAAGCAAGGGAGTTATTAACTATCAAACAGTGTTCACATATTTAGGGATACCCTGTATATCATTGTGATTGTCATGACACGACGAGGAGCACTGACAAAGTCCCAAGCGTTGCAAATCACTCATTAAAAGCAGTGTCCAAGCAAAAAGTCGATCTTTAGATTTTCTGCTTACCCGCGCCTATTCGCCATGCTGAATCCGATAAACCACATTGGAGGGCGCGAAAACGGCGAAAAAAGGCTCTAACACAGGAGGGAAATCGGCGGTGGGCGGGCCGTACACACCATGACGTCACTCTCCCAGGCATTAGGAGCGATCTTCTCGGTTCCGATTTTATGTCATGCGTTTCGCAGTTGGCTGGTGGTGATGTTAGGGCGATTAGCATAAGCAAGGAGATCGCTCCTGAAGTTGGGAGAGTGATGCCACTATGTGAACAGCCCCGCCCACCTGCAATTTGCCTCCTCCGTTAGGGCCTTTTTTGCCGTTTTCGCGCTCTTCAATGTTGATTTTCGAGTTCAGCACAGCGAATAGGCCCAGGTAAGCGCAAAATCTCGAAATCAACTTTTTGCTTGGACACTGCCTTTAACGAGATAGGTCAGCATTTTCGTGCGCGACCCTCGCAAGATTTAAGCTTTTCGCGTTTTTATCCAACTCCAACAGCTTCTCTAAACTTTTGAAACTCAACTTTAGTTAAATAAGACGTTAAGTGGGAAATGTTGTTCGAAATTCTGGCGAAACATTCACAGAAACCTTCTATTTAGCGTGAAAAAGGCTATGAAAACGCAAATTCTCGGTCTCGCTGAGATAATTCAAAGATATTATTCCCTATTTTTGCTTCATTCACATTCATTTCGATAGACTCAGAGTTATAACATCCGTGGCTTCTCCCCGGATGGTTTTTTGTTTTTCCATGTGAAGGCTTTTTATCATGGCGTTCAAAGTGAAGGCTACCAGAGTATATGGCTCTATGTATCGAGAGTATGGCGACTTGGGCATTTGCTTGATATTGCACCCTACTATCATATGCTGCCAAAAACTCAAGACCCTCAGCTTAGGGTGGACGGTGCCTTTGAAGGCAGTGTCCGAGAAACTAGATTTTTGAAAAATCCATCTACCGGGGGTTATCCGCAACGCTGAACCCGAAAATCCACACTAAAAGGCGCGAAAACGGCGAGAAAATGTGTTTTCCAAAGCCTTACAATTTTAAATTCGACAGCCCCCACCAAGGCTGCGACGCAGAGTCGCTGCAAGATCCTACGATTTAAACTGTGAGGCATGCGTACTCTGCTGCAGAGCAGGAATTCAAGCAGGTGTCTAGAAGATCCCGCCTCAAGGTGTAAGTTTTCCCACTTTTCGGTCGTTTTTCTTTTTTTAGGTCGATTATGACCTCGCACTTGCGCGAATGCTCTGTCTAAGGGGGACCACTTTCGTATGGCACTGAAATCCCAAAGCCCCCATCTTGTCCGGACACTGCCTGCCGGCGTTCTTATTGTTTTGTATCCGGTAGCACGCTGTAGAAAACATGAGCGACAAGGGAACAGGAGAAAGCTCGCTACGGGTCCGCACGCCGCCGGCAGAGCGCCCGCGTCGCGGCTCGTACGAAATCGAACGTGCCGGCGAGCGCGAGATGCTGTTGTTGTGTGTTTGTGCGTTCCCGTGTGCGTCAGCTCAGCTGATCGAGTCATTTCCTGGGCCGAATTGTATCTTGTTAGTCGATAACATCTTACGTCAGCCCTTCTTGCTAAGCTTGTGATTTGGGAGCTCTCGGTATCCTCATTGGCTGTGTAAATTCATTCGTTGTGAAGCTTTATTCCCGCATATTCTCATTTGTGATCTTGTTCATTTTTTACTTTTTCTTTTCGAGTGATGGAGCTTTTTCATTTGTATTGTATGCGGAAACATACAGTCCGGCTACTTTTGGGACGGTAAAAACATTTCCAGAGATAGTTGCGAGGCATTGCAAACTAAATTATCCTCTTCTATAGAGGTGCTTTTAATATTCAGTGCTGTGTGCAACAACATTTTACTCGTTGGTGATCTTACCTGATCATCTTTCTTTAGGAAGAGAGGGCGACACACGCTCACTACGCTTTAGCGGTCCTTATTATCCATAGCTCTGCGTCACTCCGTGATTACGTTGTTTCAGCATGCACCTCATGGGACAATGTTATACAATAATAGTTTTATGATCTTTGGACTCCAGTGAGCTCCCAGGATCCTGTTCGATCGCCATTTCAACGAATATGCTTGCAGCTTTTGTAGATTACTGCCATTGCTTTCAACCATTCCAACATGTTTCTATCAACGTCTCATGTAAGCATGGGTAATTCACACTTGTCTGGTTTGGCTATATCAAGATAAATCAGGGGCGTATTCAGCATGACGCAGGGGGCTGTAGTTTGCATTCAATAAATTTTCGCGTATAGTGGGTTTTATCGATACGATGTGCAGTGTTTTGCTTGTTTACGCCTCCATGCTCAGTAATGCGCTGTTTTCGCTTTCGTCTTCGCGTGTTCGAGAATATGTGATGTCATTTATGGTTTATTCTTTTGATGTATCAAGATTAGATTAAACATGTGTTTGGGCTAAAGTACTTTCATATCCATTAGTGACACTGTCACCAGAGATGAGTGTCATGAAGTCGGACTGTGATGAGACTTTACAAATTTGTTCCTTTTGTAGAAGGGACGACTCTTTTTATATTAGAACATATCCCTCCACTCCCCCCCCCCCCCTCCCCCGTTTTTGCATACTCAAATAGACCTAATCTCACTCTATTGCAAGTCTTGATTTGTTGGGAATCCGCTGAAGCTGCAACTTTTGATCTCAAAAAAAAAAATGTAGCTGATTTGATCAAAGGCAGTGCCCACACAAATCTGGACACATGAAGCTTTCACTTGGGGGGACTTAGTGAGGCTAAATCAGGGGGTCACTCACTTGGGCGCTCAATAATCACCTTAGTGTGACAACAAAAATAAATGATTCACATACGTGGTAGATAGGAAGTCGCTCGACGGTAATTTGGTACATTTCACCTTAGTTGTATTATAGTGTCTATAAGATGTACTCTTATATCACTGTTATTTTTAGCATACTTTGTTTTTGCCTTATGATCGTTTCCTCATATGCTGCATGATCCCCCTTTCATGTCGCGAGTGCCTACATGGCGATTTTTTGCGAAGTTGTTTTTGTTTTCGTGCAGTGATGCTTGAAATACGCTCGTAAGCGGGCGCCGTTTGTAGCTTACTTCTTTGCTCCATTCAGTATATACCATTGCTTCACAAAATTTACTCAAGAAGCAAAATGTATTCTTGCTAAGCTTATGTGTGCTTCTCTGAACAAGTATTTACGTATCCGTCTTATAATTTGTTATATAGTCTTTCTTATCTTTTTGAAATTTTTCGCTCAACCTCGAAATATAACCATTAACAGTGACAAAATAGTCTTGCAAATGATCGCCCCTCTCATTAATTTTATATAGTGCATATTCTGGTCTGTACTCATAACTGTAAAGTGCAAGAAGTCATCTATTCTAGACTCGTGCAAATTTTGTTTATCTCATGGATTTTGCAAGTCAGCTGGTTAAAGATTGAATTCTGTTCTCCCACTCATTATCGCTGTTGGCTTTTCCTGTTATGGCTGGTTATTATTACCTATTGCAAGATCTTGCATAATAAACTTGCAGTACATTTGCATTTGCTTCCAAATTTGCTCAGTCTCAAGAGAGGATTTTTGAATCACTAGTAATCCTTTCATTGTTAGTGGCCTTTCATGGCATAATGTAATAAGAAACTGCATATATTTATCTAAGGCATACAATTTTTCTGCGAGTTATACATTGTTGTGTAGACTTGGGCGAGAAGTTCTTGAAAATGGGTATTTATAGAAATTTCAACGTAGTTCGTTCCCGAAGTTGTGCTGCATAGGAAGCGCTACTCGGCGCTATTTTGAGGTGAGGTTTTGACTTTGTTTTCTCTTATGTTTTATTTCTCATTTCATTTTGGAATGTGCATTCCCAGTCACGAATTTTTGACAGATTTTCTTGCTTATCCATCTGTCTGCTATTTTTTTACTTAGTTCATGGGTTCTAGCCAGCATTGGTAGCGTTAGTTTGTTCGGCGCTTGTAAACTATGAAGGAACTTTTGGAGGCATCAAAATGTAATGAATCGAAAGAGAACATTTTACAGCTTGTGAACTGTTTTTTTGTAACTATTTGGCATACCCGGCTCCGCCCGGGCCTGTCAATGATATATTTGTAATCAGCATGCTCGATTACCCCCCCCTGTGCCAACTCCCAGCCCTGTAGCTCAAATTTTGCAAAAAATCGATATCGATCGATAACGAAAAGTAGCCTATGACACGCTCCCTGCCCCGAAGTATATGTGTGCCAAGTTTGGTCCAATTCGGTTCAGAAATAAAAATTTCTATTCCGCACATACGTACAGACAGACAGACATACAGACAGACAGACAGACATTCAGCTATATACAGGGTGTCCCAAAAAATGTATCGAACGTTTGATCGTTAATGTCTCTCTTCTGAAAATATCTTTTTCCTTGCTTCAGGTACCAATCTGTAGAACTGGCTTCAACTTAGATTTGCATTATAGAACGAATCACTCATCTCTCTTCATCACAGTAGGATTACGGTAGAAACTTCAACGAGGGTTTTAAGCAATGAAAGGCCTTATTTTGCCCCAGAAAGGAAACAAAACAGCCTGAAAACTTTTACACTAGGCTAATTAGAGTTGCTGATTATAAATGTAAAGTTTCCAACTTATTATGATGCTTCATTGAAAAGTTATGCCAGGTAAGAGGAGCAGCCATTTTTTCAATGTTCCTAAAAAGTGCGGTTACACCGTTTAGAAAGCTTCGTAATCTTGTGAATAGATGAGTATTGAACGCAGTGTCCATAAAAACCCCAATACACAAGTTTTCACATTTTTTTGGAAAATTTTGAAACGGCAGCTTTTTCCACATTGACACCATATAATTCAAGTTTCTACCGTAATCCTACACTAATGAAGAGAGATGGGTAGTCGTTCTATAATGCAAATCTAAGTTGAAGCCAGCTCTACAAAATGGTACCTGAAGCAAGGCAAAAGACTTCTTGGGAAGAGAGATATTAACGATCAAACGTTCGATACATTTTTTGGGACACCCTGTATATAAGATTATGTCATCCAGAGGATCACAGGAACATTTTGTTTCCATTCAGATATGCAGCATGTTGAGCATTCAACGGACACGGATGGTTATTTGAACATAGGAGGATTGATGGATCAGATTGTGCACGATAGCCTCATGGATGACAATCATCTAGATCACATACTATTTTCTACAGCAACAAGTAAGCTGCCAATTCAGTGTAATTTTCTTCCATAATCCCGAACATCTTGTAACACACATTTATTTTCCAAATCCGTTCGAGGAGGCTCTTCATTTTAGCTTGCTTATGAAAGTGTATTTTTATTCTGGGATGACTTATTACTCAGAAAGAGCGAGGTTTTTCAGAGAAAGAGCTGTACTTCTACTCAGTAGTTATACAACGATTTTTGTAACGAGTGACTTATTTTTATTTTCGAAATAAAATTTGTATGGCATTTTGTGAAGATTTTTTTCATGATAAGACGCTTCTATGGAAGGGATGGAGTTAGCTGGGAGATTTGCTCATCACAATCGCATTGTTCTTCCCCACATTGCGGCAATCCTCTTCTGGGCCAAAGTTATTTTTCGAAATTTCGATGAATATGCGCACTGTTTGTTATTTTAATGAACATATTCACTTATGTAGGTGCAGCCGCTCCCCAATTTACTAACAACTAGTTGACTTACCCGGCTCCGCCCGGCCCTGTCATTATTATATTCGTAATCAGCATGCTCGATTACCCCCCTGTGCCAACTCCCAGCCCCGTAGCTCAAATTTTGCAAAAATTCGATAAATTCGATATCGATCGATGACGAAAAGTGGCCTATGACACCCGCCGGGGCCCGAAGTGTATGTGTGCCAAGTTTGGTCCGGATCGGTTCAGAAATGGAATTTTCTATTCGGAACATACGTACAGACAGACAGGCAGACAGACAGACAGACACAGACAGACAGACAGACAGACAGACAAACATACAAACAGACAAACAGACATTCAGCTTTATATATAAGATAAAAGCTCGTCATCTGCTTAGAGTCGTTTACGTACCTAGAATCTTCCTATCTTTCTTTCTATTAGGAAGCGGCGGCAGCTGGTCAGGCACAAATGCGCCTGAATCATCAAACTCGGCTGCACACGATAATCGTTGGATTGCCGACGCGCCGCTACCCCCAGAAGAATCGTATCAGCCGGACCTCCAAGCAGCGTTTATGAGTCATTCTTCCTATAATAATCAACAGGTTTGATAGATTGTGCTTGTAATGTGGACTGAAGACATCTGCAATCATCTCGATAACAAAAACTTTCAGACGGCGCCGGGTAACTGTCGATTTGGGGCTGGGCACCCAGCAAATCCTTTCCATCAGTATCCAGCACAGCGATTTCCGGGTCTTCCACCTCATTGCGGCGGATCCCCATTCGGCGTCACTGGCGGGTTTTCGGTGAATCAGCAAAGGCCGCAACAGCCTGCATCACCGCAAGGACCAACATATACTGAATTAAAGGTGTGTGCTGTGAATTTCTTCTAATTGAGGCCAGTTTTTATTCGGTTACAGAACCTTCAGAACCAGTGTTTACGTGACGTCTTAAGAGGGCAAGGGTTGCTGAAGTTTTGGCTGAAAACTATTCGAAAAAGTGGTTTATGCATATTCAATGTTGTAGCATTCAAAATATGGAAGGTTGCCATGGCACTTATCGACCTTCTATCGTTACAGATTTACTCATGCGGTTTTATATATTATATTTTTTCAGCCCTACTATGAAAAGATCGAATGCTCATATCAATTTGCAACAATCATTATTTCAGCCGAGAATGTTGAATTCAACGAAAACCCCGAATCTTACTGCTTTGTCAGCACGTACAACAGTCGCTGCAGTTCCGTATTCGAAGTCGATGAATGAACAGAAAGCAGAAGTAAGTCCGCTGCTATATACATTGTACGCTCTCGATCTTACTGCTTTATTTCGCTTACCCCCCCCCCCCCCCTCCCCTCCCACTTTCATGTCCAGCTGAACTTTTGGTTGTCCACGAAATGGGTGAATTTTGTTTTTTCAACCTTTTTGGTATTTTTATGATTTTCGACAATAGTTTCTTGTCTGGCATCTGCGAGCCTTGAAGGTTAGCGGCGGCGCCCATCTTTGCCGCCAGGCTATCGCCCCTGCATCCATTTTCAACTTATAAGTGCTTTTTGTCGCTATATCACGTCAAAATCAGACATTACCACCTGCTCCTTCTGTCCTACCTGCTCCTATGGATATGAGTGAACAGTCGACTTCATCTCGATTTGATTCATCAGCGATACCATCGTAAGTTCCCATGAGTATATTTGCGTTGCTTTTCGTGTATGGAGCTCCATAGGACATCTGTCGCTGATGGACAGTCCAACACGATGCATGTAATGCCCATATCTGATGAAGAAATCGAAAGGCCTCCACGTCACAGTCAGCTTCCCAGCGAAGATAATTCTGTAGTCGATATTTTGCATTATGAGTTTAAAGATAGGGTGAGTCTAGTTGCTGTGTGTAAGAGAAGCAAAAGATCTTGGTCTTATAGGTCGGCCCTCCATTCAAATGTCATACGCTCAACCTGTGGGTGGATGGATTTTGCGGGTCTGGGGATCCGACTAGGTTCAGTCTTGGTTCCTTGGGTAACAGCAGTCGACAACCAGGAGTAATACCAGTGAGAGGCCAGATTGGTGGGTATATCTTAACTCGTGTCTCTCCTTATCAACAGTTTCCGCGGAAATCAGTTTCATATCTGCTCTCTTTACTTATTTTGATTTCTTGCTATGGCCAGCATCAATTTGCTGTATAGTACATTTATAAAATCGTGACGACGGATTTTACTGCGGACTTTGCGCTCAGAGGAGCATAAAACGCTCATAGAAGAAGGCATCATCTAACGTCCAGCTCAGTCACTTCCAGCATCTATATATTATCCTACGTGAGCAAAAAAACCCATTCGCCCAGGGCGAAAACCAAGAAAATGCGATTATCGGAAGTGGCGTGTCTGTCGCGCGCGGTCGCGCCATCGTCACGATCTTTCAAATGCCCTATAGAATTTCGCTTATCGGATCGGCCCTAAGGTCGCCGGCATACTTCACTCGATTTCAGTCGCGACGCTATCTGGCAAACACTCTACTTACAAGTCATCATAAGCGCCTGCTGAATGTACGAAAGATGGGGCATTCTATCAGTCTTAAAGCTAAATACGTGTTTTTTTGGTCTGCCAATGTTGCATTCGAAGAAACCTGGCAGACTGCCAGATTGCACGGCGACTCAAATTTCGAAGTATGCCGGAACCTACTGCAGGAATGAACTTTCCTCAAACTCTGGACATTGAAGCCTGGTCTGGTTCATACATCATTTACATTGTCTGAGTTCAGGCAAAGGTATGCAAATGCTCTACGATGAAGGACGAACTTCGATAACATGCTTGTGCGAGTCTCCCATTTTTGTGCAAGCTCCACTACATGCCAAACGATTGAACGACGATACAGCCACTGTGTACAGGCTATCTGGTGTTTCTGAAGGCGACGATGCATCGAGTAGGTTGTGCTTGTAGCAGTAGAACGTATCAAAATTGTGACTCACTCTTTCATACTCATTTGCTGTCTTCCAGTCGGCGCTTCTAATTTTCAACGATATTCCATTATCTAAAAGTGACCGCAATCCTTGTTTGTCCTCATTGTTATGGCGCAAATGAAACACCAATAGTAGCGCGCAAGTTGGGAATTCAAAGCCTACGTCTCAACGTTGTCTCTGCGTAATTGATCTATCATCATAGCTCGAACAAGCCGAGTTATGTCCTTCTGAGCATAGTAATGTAAATGTCTAACGTTGACCAGGTTTGATTTTGGAGGGAGGGACTGGAATAAAGGATTTTCGTCGACGACTGCCCAAACTAGTGCAATTACACCACCGTGGGCGTGCTTTTTTGAAGCTTTTCCAGGTTGATGGTAGAACAGGAAAGGACAGGGATGCCGCGTGCTACCGAGTCCCCGCGCGCTGCAGCGTACTGTCAAGCTGGAAAGGCCCCAATAAGGCATGCCCAAGGTGGTGTAATTGCACTCGGGAGTCTTCGACAAATATCCTTTATCTACGCTAGCTAACATAATCCGGATCTAGATGCACTTTATGGACTTTTGCAGATCGAACTATTGAGATTTTTGACGAAGCTACCTTTGAAGAACTGCTGGAAGAAGCAAAACAGCAAGGATATCGCCATGTTTACGCCCTACAGGTGGGATCTGCGAATCTTTCTTGAATAAGCCCATCAATACATCTGATCTAGAACCTTTGCATATGCCGAGTGTCGTTTGTAAAAGGTTTTGGAAAGAGTTATCGTCGTACGACAATACTCGATACTCCTTGCTGGATCGAAATACATCTTATGAAATACTTACAAAGGTTGGATGAGGTGAGTTTCCTTACTCATTAATAGAAACCCAACTTACATTTCCATTGCTATTCGAAATCTCTGCTTTTTGCCAAATTCTCCACAGATTCCGCATATCTTGGTTTGTTGAAAGTTTTTTGATGTCAATACAAGTTGCGAGATATAAGCTGACATTTTTGTTGCTCCTTACCAGATCTGATAGTTAGCGCTACAATTTGAACACATATTTGTGATGAAATTGCAGCTAAATACTCTTACATAACACTTATATTTAGGTTTTGTCAACATTGCCGACACCGGCCTATGATATCAGCTGATTCAACGTGTGGGTAGTTCTTTGGTTTTCTACATAAATATAATTGTTTGTATTAAAACCATTCTTTATCTTGATACTTGGTGCGTTGTGATTGTATAGCTATATTTTTCCCGTTGTCTCAGTGACAATGTCGCTGTTAGAGCTTGACTTCCACGCGGCCGCTTCGTTGTTTGGGCTGCAGCCGCGGATGTTTCTGGGCATTCCTGCAGTCCTTGCCTATGAAGTGGTGGACTGCCCAGAGAATACGTTTGCGGATGCGGCCGAAGGCAGAGCGAGGAAGCCGCGATAGTTCAGAGCGCTTGAAATGACGACAATGTCATTGAGACAGAGTGTATGTATGACATGTAAATTCACTTAGTGTAGATGATTAGACGTGCTAGGCTGCTTATAAAGATGTCCTCAAAAGCTTTCACATGTTTAAAAGAAACGATGGATCATACTCCCCCAATAAAACTAAAGGAAATCTTTATCATAATTTACAGAATAGTGGGAATCAGTATGGTAAAACTTTTACTCGAAAAATTGTTAGATGAATTTCTTGGCTCTAGTTTGGTGCATCGACTTCGACATCAAAGTAAAGCTTGACTGGATCGTCTCTGGCTGCTTCTCTAGATCCTTGGTAGATGATCTACAAGACTTCATAATGTTTTGCAGTGCTTATTCTATGCAGTGCTTGCCTCAATTCGTAAATCGTTGCAAGTTTTCTCGAGAGGTATAGTGCCGAAATGGATTTTCGAAGTCCCAACTATGTTCGACAGAGCTTGGCGATCTTCTGCTGTCATCTCCGCTCTCACACCTATGCAGTGCGCTTGTAAACTGATTTTTTTTTTTTGGATTTATCTTACCTGCCTGTTGTTCGCTGGCAAGAATATTTTCCTGATTGTTTTCCGTGTCCAGTACATTTTTACCAGCTGTCAATCGATGTTCTCTTCTGCATCCTCTGCAATATCACTTGAAGGCAGTGGCTCGGGAAAATTGCATTTGCGAGCTTTCCACCTCTCCTTGCTCTAGATGCGCTGAGTTCAGCGCTTTCCTTGAAAAGTTCAAGGAAGTGCTTTTTATGGCGTTTTTGGCCTTGGAAATTGCGGAAGGAGGTGGACGAGCGACTCCCAACAACGGAATAGCGATTGACTGCCTGAGCCGATCAGCCAGTTGACGCCAGAATGGATGGTGCTACAGTGTCCTGCAGCGGGAGACGGCCCTTCTGAAACGCTAGCATTAAGATCCTAATTACTGCGCGCCTCTGATTGGTCGGCCCTGCCGCGGCGCTTGGGTAGGCGAGAGCTATGCTGTCAGGCATCTTCATGATACAAAGAATTAAACAAGTTTTCGAGTCCCCCATGAAGCTCAAAAATGTTATACGCGGGCGGCTTAGGTTGATTCTTCAGCTTACACATGCAGACTTCATGGTGTTTTGAAAAGTGGGAAGGGCGAAAAATCACGAAAGGCCAGCAAAAAAACATGCATCTTTCCCAAATTTTCCAACATAATTTTAAACATCGTCACTATCGTTATTCGTGTGCCTCGCTTGCTTTGGAATGCTCAAAAATATTTAAAAACTTTGATAGATTATAAGAAAGGCGGAGTAATTAGCGCCGCGCGGGCAGAGTAATTAGCGCTAGGACGAAGCGGTTCAGAAGGGTATACACCCGAACGCAAAAAAGCACTTTTTTCACTTTTCAAGCACATCTTTCGGCTTCAGTGGATCCGGAAGGCCATGTAGATATGGAACGCTTGCAGCCGCAATTTCACCGAGCCACTGCCTTCAGCATACATGCAGAGCCGGAAGAAATTTCCTGATACAGCGTGTGGTTCATTTAGAAGAAATGAGAGTAGGTACAACGCAAAACGGGTAACGTACCGCGTTTTCCCACCTTACCCACATGTGTAAAAGATTTATGGAAAGCTGTGCAATTTATTACACATCTCAAATGAGTTGTGGTCAGCGATGCGGTCGCGTCGCCCGATGAAAGGCGCTGGTCGAAGCAGAGAGGCCGAGACACCTCTGCTACGCTATGGGAGACGATTCGATAGCCAGGCTGCCGACGCAATCGCCGTCGGACCTATCCTCGCTGGCCTGTTGCTCGGTCTGCGAATATAAATGTCGGCACGCCTCAGTTTGGCGCTTGTTCTTGTATAATCTCTATGAGCTTTTTGTATACTAAGTTCGAAGTTGGATTTGACGACGCCGATGCGCTCCCGCCTCATGATCGTCTCGGACTGAGCGGTCAAACGAGATGTGATTTGCAACGGCGAAGTATTGTGTTGATGATTTCTGTATCATCAACCATTGATGAACTCTATATTCTGCATAGCCTACGGAGTCCCCGTAGGCAAAATGGTGAGCTACTCACTCATGAGTATCTAATCACTCAAGAGTGAGTGGTACCCGTGCGCCAGGAGTGTAGCCAATCGGCGGCATCTTTTTTCAAGCACTAGTGTGCATTGTACCCTGTATTCGGTTCAGCTCCGCCTTCCTTCGTATATAAGGAGCCTCCGAATGTATTAGAGGTTGCTCCCCGGTCCACACCGGGACACCTCGATGATCGCTCTCAACTAATCTACGCCAGTGTGAATAAATATTCCACACAACTTCGTCTACCCTACTTCACTTGGTACACACCAAATTGACTGAATTTCTTTGAAGGCAGTGGATCAGCAGAATGGCCCTTCTCGAATTTGGTGGATTCAAACATTAGACCCCCGAGCACACTATAGCCCAAACCCCGCCTGCCAATTCATGCGTTAAGTCCTAAAAAATGCGCTTCAAAACTCCACCAGCCCCGCCTACTTAATGGAAAGGGGCGGAGCTGGTGGAGAACTGAAGCGCATTTTTCAGGGCTTAGCGCATGAATTAGCAACTGGGGTTTGGGCTACAGTGTACTTGGGGGTCTACTACCTAAATACTCCAAAATCCGAGAAGGGTGCATTCTGCTGATCCACTGTCTTCAAAGGTTTGCAGAGTGAATAATAAATTGAGCTGAAGATCTGTGGCTATTTATGAGCGAACCCAGTGGGTTAGCTTACCCAGTGAACAAGCACCCACCCCTACCCAGTGGGTAGACTAACCCACGATCGGTAACGCCTTTGCCGCTGGGTTAGCTTACCCAGCAGCCTTATCCGATGGGTAGACTAACCCACGGTCGGTATTCACAAACGCCTCCGCCGCTGGGTTAGCTTACCCAGCAGCGCTGACGTCAGCAGCGTGAACATTGACGTCTATTAAAATCACGCTTTAGCGTCCTTACCGCGCGCATTCTTTACACTTTTGTGTTTTTCCATGTCTCTGTATGTACAACATCTCCGCTACGTAATCACGGGCTTCTCCGCTGCGTTATCCAATCGGGAGTGTTAGTTTGTGTTATTTTTATGCAAGTTAATAGGTATCAGACATATTTACTTGTCTTCGCGAAATTATCTTGATACTTTTAAGTGCTCCGCTTCTTTCCTTTTGTTGCAAATACTTTTCACTGAGTGAAACATGCTTCAAACGCTATCTAAGATTGAAACCCTGAACCTCTTAAAATCACAAATTCTCATTCTCGCTCAACATCTATTTTTTCGTAACGTCTGTTTGGAGTCCTCTTTTTTTTTAAATCTTGAATTTTTTGGAAAATGTATGACGCTGTTATTTCCGTCTTTTTTTGGTGAGAGTTGAGAGTAAATTGGCCCTTTGCTGCAAAAACTTTTCTTCAATACAAAAAAGGGCTTTGGTATCTGAATAGGACTTCTAAAATGATGTACTACTGCACATCACCATTGCTGCTTCCTAAAACTTCTATAACATCTAAAAAGATGGCCACATTTCTTTGTTACCCATTGGATTCTCGTTGTGTGCTTGGGTAAGGCGAACCCACGTCAAATGGGTACCGAAACCCACAATTTCTGGGTAAGATGTTTTGTGAATACCGGTAGGTAGGCTAACCCATTGAAGCTGTTCGTGAATACTGGTATGGCGGCATTTTGTGGGTTAGCCTACCCAGCGGTAGACTTAACCCACTGGGTTCGCTTACCCAGCAGCCTTATGAATACCGGTATCGTGGGTTGAGCCTACCCACTTGGTAGGATAACCCACCGGGTAACGTTGATGAATACGGCCACTCAAGTAGGGAACTGAAACTAAGAGAATAGAAGACAGTTGTTGGCTTTCTGTGAATGACCTCAAGTTCATATTGCTTTGAGACCTTGTTACGCACACTGCACAGTGCGCATACAGTCGAGTAGATTTTCCGCTCAAAATGGTGTGCTTGTATGAAGGTGGAATGCGGTAACATTTGCGCGTAAACAAGTAGCCATGCCAGTAATGCCAGCCTTTTCCGCGCGCATTTGGCCGGCGTCACGGGCGCAGCTATCTGTTCACGCGCAAACTTTGCCGCATTTCACCTTCAATGCAAGCGCACTACATCAAGTGGAAAATCTACTCGACTGTAGATTTCTTGGGGCGGCATGCGCACCTTATCCGGCTTTGAGTTAGTTTTCATGTATTAGTGGTATGTTTTTAATTACTAACTATGCAGACCGTATGGTGATAGCTCAACCCTCGATTTGAAGATGCGGAGAAGAATCCGGCAACACAGTACCGAAATGCTAGCTGGCTAATAAAGAGTGTTGCTAACCCTGGTTGGCGGCTTGAAGGTAGCGTACACCCAAAATCTAAGTCACCCAATTCTCTATACCGTGTATATCTAGGACTCAATAGAAGACCAACTGCGTTGGTCCGATCTCCCAATGTTGCTTCTGAGCGGAGAAAATTCGCCTGATTTTTCTTTCATTCCGTTCCTTTTCCTTCACTCCGCCTGAAATCCACGTCAGCGTAAGCTGCAGTTGCCGTTGCAGTTGCTGTTGCAATGCTGTTGCAGTGCAGTTGCTTTTTTTTTGCGGTCCGCCTCCTTCAGACGACGAATCCACGACAGCATACGCTGCAGTTGCAGTTGCAACTACAGGCTATCGGGTAGGGGAACGAAAGCCTCCAGTTTGAGCCGCCTTTCGCGGCTAATTGGTCCTTTCGCAACGTTGTTGCATGTTTCCAGGACCAGCAGTCCGCGCAGGCGACCGAAGCTGGCGGCAGGCTGTCATGCAGTTGCAGCTGCTCCTCGCTGGCATGCCGACGCGGTCGAGCAATTTGAAACTCGTCCTCCTTTTGAAGAGAGGGTCCCCGGAAATCGGGTTTTTTTGGGACTTTTGGAGGATTTTGATGTCATAACTGTAATCAGGGGCACGGAAAGGCCCCAGAATGACAAAAACATTGAAGGCGAAATTTTGGGTATACGCTGCCTTTACCATCATTGAGTTAGAGCGCCGATGGGTCGGTCACATTATGGGAAGCAGACGACAGATGGACACTAGGAACATCGGAGTGATTTTTCGTGAAGCACGTGCTTGAGAAAAACGAGAGAGGTGCAGACGTGTTCAAGGGACGGATGGAGCAGCGAGAGAAGCTGGGTATGAATTGCTAACGATCAGCTGGAACTCACGGACGCAGCCACCGAAGACATGTAGCGAGATTGTGGATGTCTGAAGCAAGGGGTTGGATGGAAGCTCCAGCTGGGCCCGCACGCCGCATGGAGACGGGCCTTCCAAGTATCTAAGTAACTACGTAACATCATTGGTTAACCTTATACCATGTGTTCTGACAACCTTAGTCCATCAAGTGGGCAAATCACGGATGGGATTCTTCAGAATTCGCCAATAGCGACATCTGGAGGGCTCTGATATTAGGCCGTCAAGGTTGGCGAAGGATCGCAAGATGAAGCTTCAGGTGTGGCAACAAGTGGTAATCAGATGGTGTTGTATCTGAGGAGTGGGTTTGGCACTGTATCCTAGCCAAGTATTTCGGTGTGGCGAGCTTTGGGTCTTGTGCTTTGGCATCACAAGAAGCATGCATAATTGCTCCTCTTCGATAATTTTTTCTGTGTAACTTCAGCAGTAAGTTTTCGTCGA